TGGAAGGTTTTCCTTGTCGACTAGACTTACTAGTCTCTACTCTGCAGATGCTGGTTGTGGATACATCTCCATTGCACCTGCTTCTTCTGTTGTTTTTAAGAGATGTTCCTGAACTTCTGTTGTCTCAGCTGCTTGTTCAGAATTAGAATTTTCATTTATTGGGGCTGCATTCTCATGTTCTCTACCAGATACTACATAGTCTATGGCTGTTGCATCACTTGTATTTTCCACTTCTGTAGCAGTATTGTCATCAATTAGCAACTGCATGTCCTGGGGTGTAGTTGGAATCACAGTTGCATGTGGTTGCTGCACATCCCCTGCTGCAAATGAATGTTGAAAAGTGAAGAGATCCTTTGAACCATCTGAATCTATAGTACTGTCAAAAGGAAAAATCTCCTCTTTGAACACCACATCTCCGCTAATAAATATACTCCTGTTCTCTAGATCATACAACCTATAACCTTTTCGAGTTTTTGAGTATCCAATAAAAACATTCTTTCTAGCCCTGACTGTGAATTTATCACCTTTAGGTAGGTTGCTTGCATAGCATAAGCAACCAAATATCCTTAAGTGATCTACTTTAACTAGCTTTTGATACAACAACTCATAAGGTGATTTACCTTGCAATACACTGGTGGGCAACTTGTTTATCAAGTACACTGCAGTTCTTACACAATCACCCCATAACCTTCTAGGAACTGGGCTTTGAAATTTTAAGGCTCTTGCAACCTCCAATATATGCCTATGCTTTCGTTCAACCATCCCATTTTGTTGTGGGGTGTATGGACAACTACTCTGGTGTATAATCCAAAAAAAAAAGCAAACAAGGTATTGCATTGAGAATTGAAGAACTCAATATCATTATCTGATCTAACAACCTTCACAGTGGTTTCAAACTGAGTCTTTATCATTGCAAGGAAGTTCTTTATTACAACAACTACTTCACATTTAGATTGTATTAAGCATACCCAAGTAAATCTGCTATTGTCGTCTAATATTGTAACAAAGTAAAACTTCTTATCATATGTAGGTACCTTCTGAGGTCCCCAAACATCCATGTGTACAAGCTGGAAACAACTACTTGACCTGGTGCTACTAATAGGAAATTGTAATCGGCATTGCCTTGCTAAAGGGCACACTTCACAATTGTCCTACACTCTAGTATGTATCTTATTCTTCAACTCGGAAATATGCTGCATAGACTTTGCTGATGCGTGGCCTAGTCTCAAATGCCACAATCTTGTTTCGCCATTTTCCTTCAGAAAACTTGCTGCTGTTATTGGCAAATTCTCTTTTAACAGGTACAATCCATTGTTTTCTCTACCAATCCCCATCACCTTACTATTGTATAGCCCCTGAAATATACAAAAATCAAGGTAAAAGCCAACTGAGCAACACCACTATCTAGTGAATTTTGATACTGATAGTAGGTTGAATTAAAAGTCTGGCACATATAGAACTCCTTCAATAGTTTTATCCCTAGGACTACTGCATCTCCTATATGTGTTATGTCTGCCTTATTACCTGTAGGTAACTGTACTCCATCTGTTCTATGATCTGCCCTTTTAAAATTATCTAAAACACTCTTGCAATGTGTCACATTGGTGAGTTGCACCTGAGTCCACTATCCAAACATGATCATTAGCAGCTATTTTCATTAAAGTGATAATACTTGCAACATTTATGGAACAATCATTTGTGGTAGTTTTCTGCAACAAATTCACCAACTGTTTGTATTGGTCCTCAGTAAAGAAATTTCCTTGTGTTGGCAGCATAGGTGCCTGCTTTTCCTCACTGGTGGTTGCATTGTTCACATAGGTCCTGCCTCCTGAGGTGTCCTTTATAACCACAATAATCACAGACTAATCCTGGCCTCTTAGGTCTGAATTCATGACTCTTTTCTGCCATTATTGTGAGTGGATCCTTTAATGTGTCTGTGACCCCCAGGGTTCTTTGGCTTTCTTCTTGTGTGACTATTGCGTAGGCTTCATTCACAGTGATTATAGGTGTTTTAGCCAAAACATTACTTCTAATATTACCATAGCTTTCATTCAATCCCATGAGAAACTGCAATAGACGTATGTTCTTCAAAAGCTCTACAGAAGGTTTGGATTCTTCACAATCACATGAGGCTAGAGGCGCTATTACATCTAATCCATCCCATAGATCCTTCATCTTAGAATAGTAACTAGTAACCGAGTCAGTTCCCTGTCTCAAAGTCGTAATAGCAGTCCAAAGGTGATAAATTCTCGTTAGATTTGATCTATCAAATCTCTCCTGAAAATCAGCCCACACCTTCTTTGCATTTGATGCATACACGATGCTAGGCATCAATTCCTTAGAAACAGTACTACCAATCCATGAGAGAACAATTGCGTTGCATTTCTCCCATTGCTCTTCTAATTCTCCTCTATACATGCTTTTCACACAGGATCCATCCACAAATCCAAGCTTGCTCTTTCCCCGGAGTGTCAATTTCATCGTCCTGCTCCACAGTGCTTAATTTTCTGGACCTGTGAGCTTGAACGGAATTAAGACAAGTCCTGGAGCATCTGAAGCTTGCAAAAATAGTGGATGATAATGATCTAGTGAACTGACTTCGTTATCTGCCATGGCAGTTAGAAATTGAGCTCGAAATCGTAGAATTCCTTAGCTCTGAACTTTGCCGAAATACCTTGAATCTCCCCGGAAATCGATCGGGATTACAGTCCTTGCGATGCCCACTCTAATACCATGTTAGATTCTAGCTAACGGGAGAAACAGAGAAATGAAGAGGAAGAAAAGTTCAATTTGTATTGTCTAAGAGAGAGGTCGTTCAATACAATGTCTTATAGTGCTAATGTGCACTAACTAACTGACAGCACATAGCCTGCTGTCAAATAACCCAACTAACTACTTGACTGATATTGTAACTAATTCAAAGACCCCTTATACTTCTATTGTGTACACTTTAATACCCTGTATCCCAAGACGGGGCCCAGAATTTGTTTGGGAAAGGAGTTTGCTTACAGGCAAATGAAGATATTATGTGATGTGTTGCTACGTTACTTTGTTTTTAGGTTGAGTGATGACAAGAAGAATGTCAAGTACAGGACAATGATTAATCTTCATCGACGGCGGACTTCATGTTCGTTTCTTTCATAGATAAGGCCATTAGAAAGAGTTTCCATAAATATGTACAATATTGGTACAATCATACCTTTACTTAAACTTTGTTTTGTTCTTCTGTATTTTTATCCCGTATTGGATTGGGTTTTTCGTTGATATACCCACTGTCTCCCCATCTCGAATCCCTTCTTAGAAGAAAATACTGATAGTATGCCTAAGGCCAGTAAACTATTTCCATGGAACATCGTATAGAACCATGTCCGGATTATTTAATCAGTATAAATATTCGTCTTACTTATACTATGTTAGTTTCATTTATAAAATTCTGCATAACCAATATAGTCTCGGTAAGTCGGTATAACTGATCCAGCTTTGGTATCTTGTATTAATTGTCGCATAAGTCATGCAGAATTTAGTACCAAAAATCAAACATTGCATTACTAATTCCCTTATATCTTACACGAGAATATATATATACACCTCCCTTTTCATTTTATGTGGTGGTATTTGACCGGGCATATAGTTTTAAAAAAAAAACTTTTTAAATTGTAGTTTTAACATACCATAGACAATGTGTTGATATAAGAGCTTATCATAAGGGTAAAATAGAAACTTAAATTTAAGTTATTTGTAAGTATAGCAAGCTGTCATTCCTTTTGGAAACAAACTAAAAAGAAGTTATGCCACGTACTGTGAAACGAAGAGTGTTATCCTGGTAAAAACGGATTAAAGAAAAAAATACCCTTAATTAGGCATACCAATCCATGTATTGTTTTATTCACTGTATAAAAATCTCTGCATTATTATCTCTATGCACTGCTTCATAATCCTCGCCTAACTAGACAGTAAAGCAAACAACATAAGTTTTTTAATGACTAAGGTTGTTGATTAGTGTATGTTAGTATTCTAGTTAGTCAAGTTAAATTAGTGCTCACAAGTCACAAGCATAGAGATTTAAGGATGTTGATAGCTGATGTGAGGACAAACAAGAAGAAACAGCAGAACGACTAGTTAAACGTTACGCTATAACGCCATATTTATGTTTAAATCCACAGGGGTCCAAACTTCCAAAGTCCAATTCTTCTTCCAAGGGGATAGGGACATGTTCTTTTGTTTATTCTGCAAGTTTCTTTCAGTTCATTTTCTCTATGACAAGGACTTTGATTTTTTTCCCTGCTCCCACGCAACAAGAATACAAACCATTCCCTCTAAGATATCTGCTTGATAATTCTAGCAAGAAAAAAAAGTGATTGGTGTAAGTTTCTTGGGCTTATATCTCTTGTTTACTCTATTAATTAGCACGAATGCTGCTCGGATCGCGTGTGAACAATTTTCTGGATTTGTCTTTGCATGCAATGACGGAGCTAGGAATTTATACAAGCGAATTCAAAAAAAAAAAAAAAAGTTATTCTCCTGGAATGGAATTTGAGAGCCTGTTTGGACATAAGAATTTTTTCACTTTTTTTACTTTTTTTCGAAATCAGTGTTGGCCATGAATTTTCATTTTTCACTTGAAGATTAATTTTGGAATTTTTTGAAAATTTGAAAAACTCCAAAAAGCTGTTTTTCAAAATTTTAACTCAGATCACTCACAAAAATTAAAAACAACCCAAAATTATATTCATGTCTAAACACAACTCTAATTTTCAAATACCATTTTCACTTGAGGAAAAATTTCACCTTTTTTTGGAATGTTACAATTTTTATGTCCAAACGCCCTCTGAATCTACAACTTAAAGCAATTTTTGAACCCCTTGTAGAATTTTTCCTTATGTCTAGGTGATTCAACAACAACAACAACCCAGTTTAATCTCATTAGTGGGGTCTGGGGAGGGTAGAACGTACACAGAAGGCGATTCAATAGTTTAGATATAACAAAAAGAATTTGTTCTTCCCCACTTCACATTATGTTATTTTTTAATGAAGGAGAATCAACTGAACCCGCATCTTCAACGGCACCTCTGTTTGATGTGTGTTAAATAGCTATATAAAGACGGCTGGCATCTCTCCATAGTACACCCTATTGGTAAAAATGGATATTCTCTATACTATCTTCACCTGTATAGGGATCCTTTTATTCATTTGTGTCACTCCCATTTTAGTTCTAATAGTAAGGATCTATGCTGGCAAGTCAATTAGAAACCCCAAATATGCACCAGTGGTAGGAACTGTGTTTCATCAACTCTTCTACTTCAACAGACTCTATGATTATCAAACAGAAGTGGCTAAGAAAACCCCTACTTCCCGGCTTCTATCACCGGAGCAGAGTGAAACATATACTACTGATTCAAGAAATATTGAACATATTCTTAAGACCAACTTTAGCAAGTACTCCAAAGGCAAGCGTAATCAAGAAGTTCTGAGGGACTTGTTTGGCGAAGGAATTTTCGCCGTAGATGGTGAAAAATGGAAGCAACAGAGAAAGCTAGCAAGCTTTGAGTTCTCAGCTAGGGTCTTGAGAGACTTTAGCTGCACAGTTTTCAGAAAAAGAGCAACCAAATTGGTCAGCAAGGTTTCTGACTTCTCTCTTGCCAACCAAGTTTTTGATATGCAAGTAAGTCATTGAACAGCTCAATAAATATCAGGGCTATTTCACTAGTTAGTTGTTTTTGTAGGAACTGCTAATGAAAAGCTCCCTGGATTCAATATTCAAAGTTGGCTTTGGAGTTGATCTGAATTCCCTGGATGGATCAGGAGGAGATAATAACAAATTCATCAAAGCCTTTGATGATTCCAATGAATTGACATACTGGCGCTATGTTGATCCATTCTGGAAGCTTAAGAGATACTTCAACGTTGGCTCTGAATTTCACCTGAAAAAGAACATCAAATACATCCAGGAATTCGTTGATGAACTGATAAGAACAAGGCGCAAACAGCTAGAAATGAAAGAAGATTCTGTAAGTCTGATTATATTGTGATCATTAGAATGTTAAGAGAGCTAGAAGTGAAACATTTTCATCTTCTAAAGCTATTTTTTCGATCTGTTCATTAGCTGAGGGTCTACCGGAAACAACCTCTCTGCCCGTCCAGGGTAGGGGTAAGGCTGCGCACATCCTACCCTCCCAAGACCCCGCTTGTGGGATTACACAGGGCCTTTTTTGTTGTTGTTAAAGCTATTTTTCTGAACTTATTTGTGTCTAACATAATTATAAATCTTTTGTCTGTTGTGCAAGATGGATAAGGAGGACATACTTTCAAGGTTTCTGGTCGAGAGCAAGAAGGATCCAGAGAAAATGAATGATCAATATCTCAGAGATATTATACTGAATTTCATGCTTGCGGGCAAAGATAGTAGTGCTAATACTCTTTCATGGTTTTTCTACATGCTTTGCAAGAACCCCTTGATCCAAGTAAAGGTTGTTGAGGAAACAAGACAAGTTATTGGTAATAAGATAAAGGACAATGGAAGTACAGATGATTTTGTGGCAAGTATCACAGAAGAAGTCCTAGAGAAAATGCATTATCTTCATGCAACATTGACAGAGACCTTGAGGCTATACCCTGCAGTCCCAGTGGTAAAACTTTTGTTTAAGAAAACACAATTTTTTCACAATCGAAACCAAACTACTCGATCATTTCTACTCTCTTGTATCTATCTGTGAATACTTGTCATATTAACAGTGAATATTTGTCATATGTCACGGTAAAATTGGGTTCGAGCCATAGAAATCAGCCACTGATGCTTGCATTAGGGTAGGCTGCCTACATCACACCCCCTTCCCCGGACCATGCGTATACACGGGATGCTTCGTGCACCGGGTTGTCCTAACAGTGACATGTTATTTGTTAATATTCAGGATGGCAGATGTGCGGATGCAGATGATGTTCTTCCCGATGGCTTTCATATCAGAAAGGGGGATGGAGTCTATTATATATCCTATGCAATGGGGAGAATGCCTTACATTTGGGGGAATGACGCTGAGGATTTCCGACCTGAAAGATGGTTGAAGGATGGGATTTTCCAGCCAGAGTCGCCATTCAAATTCATAGCATTTCATGTAAGTATTAAACTTTCATACTTAATAAGCGCGACTCCCGAATTGATATAGATGATCACTGAGGCTATATATTATGTTGTTAAGTATAGTTCAGAAAATAGGAAATTATGCTCAAAGATGTCAAGTTTTAGTACAGACCTAACGGAATATATAGCAGTTTGCATGCTTTGCTACATCTTACTTCGCACAAGGGCTGCATCATGTTATTATTCTCTAACTAGTTGTTTTATTTGATTTACAGGCTGGTCCAAGAATATGTCTAGGCAAAGATTTTGCTTATCGACAAATGAAGATTTTAACAATAGCTCTTCTGCATTTCTTCAGGTTCAAATTATCCGATGACACGAAAGAAGTAACTTATAGAACCATGTTTACACTCCACATCAATGAAGGGCTTCCAGTTCATGCAGTTCCAAGAAGAGGCTGAAACGCAGAAGGCACTTTGATTGCCATCTTTATAGCTAATGTACAGAAGTCAAGTCAGTCCATTTCTGCCGTTTGAAAAAAAAAGTTCAAATATTCACAACTTTGTGACTAGAAAGTGAATGCTAATATTTCATCAGGTTCTTGATTTCTTCATAGAAATACGAAATGGCTTCATATTAGTTAAATGCTGTACCCTGCATTCCATAATTCAAAAGTTGGCTTGTTTTGGTGAACTTGAATAACAAACTAAAAAGTAGGAGTTGAAATTATAACAAACTATGTAGCCGATTAAATGTTCTTTTATAATAAATTTAGTGAATTAGTAATACATAATATATATGTGTATCTATATACGAGTCTCTCTGAACGTGCGTCGCACGTTTATCTCATATCATTTTCATAAATTTTGTATTGCAAAACACTAAATTTTTAGCATATGCAGACTTAAGAATTTTTATTTGATTTATAAAGGTATTTGAGCACACCTTAATTGCAAATTAATATTTATTTTATAATTTTATCTATTATTTCAACTTCACTTTTAAGTAGAAAATTTTGAAGCTAAAGTTTTGTTTGATTATCTCATATGAAGTAATGTGTCACTCACAAAAGTTTAACTTCTTATTCAAGTGAAATTTATGTCAAACAAAATTTCAAACTTCTTTCCAACTTCAACTTTAACTTCAAATATTTATTTTAAAACATAAACCAAATATTATCTTAAAAAATAGAAATCATAAAATGTGCATAAAGAAATTAATTATTCAAAATTTATGTACCAAAGGAAGACTAAAAACTTTTGTTCAAGGACTAAAATATTATCCATTCAAAATCAAAATTGTCGCACTCTCTTTTCAAAGTAGAGTAAACAATTTTATGACTCTTCAAGAGACCTTTAAAGTTATTTATTAAGGCAATAAAATTATTTTACCTCAAAAAATAAATATAGATCAAATATTTTTTTCGGAAGCCGTAATGCCTCTTCCGAATTAAAATAGTAGTGATTAGTGGATAATATTACCAATATGTTACTGCAAACTAACATTCACGTTTCCACCACCACTTGCAATGTTGAAAAATATCTAAAAGTGAAATTTGTAAAGAATTTTAATTAGAATTTGAAGGAATGTAAGCAGTTCTTTTACCAAGGATAGTAATTTTCCTAGACTGCGGAAATGGTATGACGAAAATTAGATACTCGGGATATAATACCTACTAATAAAACTAAATTTATATTCTTTGATAATTTCTTCTACCATTAGAACTCAAGGAAAAAAAATTAGAATTGAAATATAAGTTTAAGAAAGAAGAATAAAAATATTCTTCAACGTTAATGAAGAATCACATAATGTTTTTTAAGAAAAAGTATTTTTATCATATCTTTTATTTACTTCAAATGAAAGCCTCTAAATAAATTTAACCATTCAGCAATGGTTGAACAAATGTAAGTTTAATTCTTAAAGTAAATACAATTATAACATATATTGATTCTGGATGTTAAAAATCGGTAGTACCCTTTAATTTACATATTAGTGTCCGCATGATATTAGTTGTGCCAATACTACAAATACTTCTATAGAAGAGAGTTGTAAGTTACAGACAATTTAATAGTAGAGCAAATACATGCCTATTCGCACGAAAGAAACACTACTAGAATTCCGAAAAAAAGCGACCAAACTTTAGCGACCAAAGTTGGTCTGTCAAGAAAAGCGACCAACGTTGGTCTCTAAATTGGAGAAAATAATAAAATAATTATTTTAAATACATTAGCGACCAAAGTTGGTCGCTATTAGGTTAATAATTTCGTCAAAATATTTATCAGACTGGTCAGACTTGCTTGGTCAAAGAAATACTGAGATTAGCGACCAACGTTGGTCGCTATTGTGGGACCCACTTATTAAATTTTAATAATTATATTATTATTTAAAAAAATTATAAAATATAAATAAATATAATTCAAAGTTAGCGACCAAAGTTGGTCGCTTATAAAATAGAGACCAACTTTGGTCGCTAATATGGGACCCGTTTAACAATTATATTATTATTTTAAATATTATATAAAATATAAATAAATCTGATTTAAATTTAGCGACCAGCTTTGGTCGCTAATTTAAATTTAAGTATAATTAGCGACCAAAGTTGGTCTCTTTTCAGGTCAACAATGGTCAAAATTAAAAATCACTTTTGTATTTACTATCTAAATAATATAAATGTAAGCCGTTAACACTTTTGTAACACAAGGGATGAATAGACTAAAATATACTCTAACATGCTATGCACTAAGTATAAGCGTATTAGGTAATATTATATCGAATATGGCTTATATATATGTAATATATATAGTTACGCTGTACTATGCACTAAGTATAAGCGTATTAGGTAATATTATATCGAATATGGCTTATATATGTATAATATATATAGTTACGTTGTACTATGCACTAAGTATAAGCGTATTAGGTAATATTATATCGAATATGGCTTATATATATGTAATATATATAGTTACGCTCTACTATGCACTAAGTATAAGCGTATTAGGTAATATTATATCGAATATGGCATATATATATGTAATATATATAGTTACGCTGTACTATGCACTAAGTATAAGCGTATTAGGTAATATTATATCGAATATGGCTTATGTATATGTAATATATATAGTTACACTGTACTATGCACTAAGTATAAGCGTATTAGGTAATATTATATCGAATATGGCATATATATATGTAATATATATATATATATATATATATATATATATATATATATATACTTACGCTGTACTATGCACTAAGTATAAGCGTATTAGGTAATATTATATCTATATAGCTTATATATATATATGTATAATATATATAGTTACGTTGTACTATGCACTAAGTATAAGCGTATTAGGTAATATTATATCGAATATGGCATATATATGTAATATGTATAGTTACGCTGCGCTATGCACTAAGTATAAGCGTATTAGGTAATATTATATCGAATATGGCTTATATATATGTAATGTATATACTTACGCTGTACTATGCACTAAGTATAAGCGTATTAGGTAATATTATATCGAATATGGCTTATATATATGACTTATATATATGAATTAAAAGTAATTTAATTTTTTTTAGATATAGCGACCAATGTTGGTCGCTATTCTGGTCAAACGGTCAGAACTTCGCGACCAATGTTGGTCGCTATTTTGGTCAAAATAGTCAATACATTTTGGCTACCAAAAATAGCGACCAAAGTTGGTCGCTTTCTGTAAATACAGTAGCTAAAAAACGGGTTTCCCCTCATATTCTCTTATTTTTTTCTCTCTCTTCTCTCTCTCACACCCAAACCCCCCATCCCCTCCCGTCTCCCTTCATCGACGCCGCCGTCCCCCACCACCTCCACCCGCCGGAGGCAGCAGCAGCTCCACCGCCACTGTCCAGGTAGGTTTCTCTCTCCTTTCCTTTTTTTTCGAAATACACAGATTTATTTTAATTCTTTGTAGTTTGATTTGTAAAAATTAATTGTTCTTAGCTAAATTAAATCTAGGATAATTATTAGTAGCTAAAATAATTAGTTTTACCTACTAATTCCATCACCATCACCCTTGTCACTCTCAATTAAACTTCTTTTCTTCTTGGAAAATGAAGTAGAGAATTCCTCTATAATCTTTCTTTTATCTACTTAGGAAATGTTAAAATTCCTGCCTATACAATCTCTAGTTGAAACACATGTCATTGCAGTCTCAACATCATTGTCGCTAACGAGAACAACAATTGATCAAAAGACACACCCTGTCAACTACTGTATCCAAGTTATTCTCTGTATCCAAGTTCATCCCTAGTAATAGTACCATGAGGATAATCACCAAAGCCACCGGACAACTTTATGATGCCAATGAAGCAGGATGAGCTATTCAATGAAACTCGTATTGTAAAGAAGAAGAAAGAGACTGATTCAGAAATGTGGGTCGAGGGTCGAGCCTCGACTATACATTTAAGTTTTTTACTTATCATTAAGTATTTTGATTTACTTTTATATAAATTTTGAAATATTAATTCAATATAATTTTTCTTATAGGTTCTCTTCAGAGCTGATGTGGGGGAATTCATACGAAGTCAGCCACCTAACGAGTCGGCCGAGGCAATCCAACTTTCGAACGAGGATGCTAAAAGAACACTCCTTGAGTACTTTATATACTTTGAACTAGACAATAGAACTAGTTTTCGAATGAGCTTGTAATAAACGTTAACTTAGTTTTGTTAGCTTAATATTTTAGTTCTATTGATCTTTATATTTTGTTGCGTTTTAGTGTTGTTGTTGTTGTTGCTGGCATAAAATGCCTGTTTAGGATATTTGGTATAAGCTGGCAGGTGGTGTAGCAGCCAAAACAGGCGGTTTCTGCCAAAAATATACCAAAAAAGCGACCAACTTTGGTGTCTAGTTGGTCGTTATTCACTTAAAAAAAAATAATTTTCTGGTAATTTGGCGACCAAGGTTGGTCGCTTATAGTTTTAAAAAAAAATTAATTCTTGCCATTGGCGACCAATATTGGTCGCCCAATAAATAAAAAATTATAACATTTATTAATATAGCGACCAAAGTTGGTCTCTTTATATGATTAAAAAATAATAAAAAATAAACGTTATTACATCTAGACGACTACTTGGTACACAAATATATAATATTAAAATATTTGAGCGACCAAAGTTGGTCGCTATATGCTTTGCCCGGAAAATTTGGTCCTTTTACCTGGGAGACCAACGATGGTCGCTATTTAGCGACCAACTTTGGTCTCTAAGGTAAAGGGACTAGCTTAATATCGACCAGGCGGGGTTGGTCGCTTTTTGGCCAATAAGCGACCAACGTTGGTCGCTTTTGCTGGTCGCTTTTTTCCGGAATTCTAGTAGTGAAAGAGGATAAGCATAAGAAAATCCACCTCATAATTGATTCAATTGTTCGTTTTTAGTTTAGATTGTTACCATGACGTGTGATTGATCAATGTGAAGGAACACATTTGAAAAATCTATTTTCTTAATATGAAGGAATACAACCCTTCGAATCAAGGCATCGATTACTTTTTGTTTTTGTTTTGGATAAGTAGTTCTTTCCTCTTGGAAAAATAATTATTAATGAACAAACACAACTATTTAGAAAAGACACAATATAAATTAATATCATTCAGGCATTTTTTAAATTATATTTTTATTCAAAGGTTATTTTAGTAATTTAA